AAGTGCAGAAGGCACACAGCCATGCCACCTAATCAATCAATTAGACTTGCAGATTGACCTTTCAGGAATGGCAGCCAGTCTTTCTGCTGGAGCGAGATGGAGAGCAATGACAGCTAACAATTGGCTTGTCCTTGCCAGAAAGGCAAATGCACAAACGCCAGGTTTAACCCCTGAAGCAGATGCTATCTGCTCTCCCCCACTCCTTTTAACTGGACTCACTAGCCATTCTCACTGGATTCACTGCCAATTAGTTGTGGTAACCTGCCATCTGGGTCATTAGAAAGGAAAGCTAATTAGAAAAACTAAAATGGATAAAAGCTGGCTAATGCATCCTACGCAGCTAGAGCCTAGATTCAGCTGTTACTTTGCAGTATGCCACTGAAAGAAAGAGGAGACATGGGAGGGGCCGGTGTTTTAACAGTCATAAGGAGCAATACGGAGCCATACAAGGCTGCTGAATTGTGAGAATAAGAGAGACACCGAAGAGTCAGACAAGAAAAATGGTTCGGTGAGTGCATGAAAAGAAGGGAGAAGGGTGAAAAATCCAGTTGAATAGATTGTTGAAACCCCGTCCCTGTGCTATGACAATGGGCCAACACGGTACTTTTCTCCCTAAGGATTGCCTTATTCTGCTCCAAATCTGCTAGCTCACACAGATCCCAATCCAGCACGGCACGGGATGTGGATGGCTCCCCGTCTCAGGACAATGGAACGCTGCACAGAAGTCTGGCCTGGCCGTGTTCGCTGCAGCGTCAGAGCCGGAGGAGCTGCAAGGCGCTCTCTATGTTAGAAGAGCCCACACAGAAGGCAGCAGTCACCGGCAGCGCTGCAGTGCTTGAGCACAGCAAGCTGAAATAAGCATAGAATTCAACACTCAGTCGCCAGTCTCCTGTGGATCTTGGCAGGACCCGTCATGCTATTTTGAACACATTTCTTTTAGTGCCATTATGCTCCCAGGAGAAAATGTAAACTTTCACAAAGGAGAAAAGGTTAAAGCCATTATGGTAGAGGGCCATTAAATAAGGCTCTTACAGCTTGTGACAGTCTCATGGATGCTCCCCAGGTTTTCCACGCTGACCTTGCAGCACCAACAGCAGAGCTTCTAGCAGTGACTGCAATTTGTTTGCATAAGCATTAAACCGCTAAGAGCCCTTGACCAGCTGACACAGAGACATTCGTCTAAAGTTACTAGTGCCAGGAATTAAGGCACACTCACATGTTACGGTGGATCTATGTGAAGCACAATAAGTATTTTGGCGCTGTTCTCACCAAAAGGGAAACCTGAAAATGGTTTTGGCCTATGCGCTGTGTCTGGAATGTAGACAGTTGTCAGAATTGATGGTGCTGAGCAATATTGTTATGGTGAAATTAGCAGAAGGAGAGAAGACTTACAGAACAACTGAGCCAAAGTGACCCAGGTGTCCTGCTGGTGAGGTGTAAAGTAGCTGAGTCAGAAGTACATAAGTGAGGCAGTGTGGTCTAGTGGCAAGAGTGAATGACTAGGAAAAGGAAGGTCCTAACCCCTACCTGAATCATTGGCTCATGTGTGTGAGCTTAGTCAAGTCACAAGACACCCTTAGCTCTCAAACTGTCACAGGGTTCAGTCTGTGAAGATTTGTTAATAGGGGATAGAGTCACTAAACCCCACTTGGAAAGGTTCTGCTTTCTTCTCTCTGAGGAACCAGCTCTCCCTTTCTACACCTTGCTCTAAAGAAAGGGCACAGCTAATGGTCAAAGCAGGTGACTTTGGAGGCACTGTCACCTTATGCAGTGTGCTCTGGCATGGCACCTCTGCTCTCCATGGAAATAGCCTACATTGAGAACCTCTCTGGAATGACTGGGCCTACTGCATGGAGCTGAAGAAAAAAAAGGGGGGGATTTTAAAATGTTATCCTCTAGAGCGTTTTTAAAGGGTTTTTAGAGCTTCCTGCTCTTGAAAGGAGCTGGCTGGAAAAGTCAAGGGCCTTGGAAGGTTGCTGTATAAGGTGGATTTTTGACCCTTGGGCTGGCCTACGAGTACCACAGCAGGTTAAAAATTCTGAAGTGCTAAGGGTTTTCAGCATGATGTGCTGGCAGCAAAGGCCCAGAAGTGCAGCGCTTGCCCTTTAGGGAAGAAGAGTTATGAGACAGAGTAAGGAGACAGTGCCCTGAGAGGAAGAGATCTGTGGCTGGAGGCATACAGGACCAGCTTCTCAACAGCAGGCCCTGTGCCTAGAAGGCAATAAACAAGGGCTCTAGAGAAATGACTTCCACAGCCCCATGACCCCTTCAGCCCTGCTGCCAACTTCTTCCCTTTTAAACTGACGGGCTTCTAATTTGAGTGCTTCAGTTGTGTCCAGTTACCATGAGGCCATGTAAGGGGAGGGCCACTTCTCTCACAGCCAGGCCCCAAATCAGGTTGGGTGTTTAGGTCAAAAACAAAATCTTGGCCTGGACCCCCACAAATAACCTGGCAGCCAGCACTGACTACAGAGCACAGGGCCAATGCCTTCCCTGCCAGGATTGTCATGCACTAAGCAGCTGCAGGCGGCATTCTGAACAAGGACATGTTTGTGAGTAGCTTTCAGCCATAATCTGTGCTGGAGGTGACACAACCGAGGACACAAAATCATTCCATTGACAGCAACATTGGGGCAGGGTGGCAGAACCGAAACACTCCTGAAAGGAAATGAAAATGTATTTTTAAACATAAAACTTTCAGCTAATGGTGTATTAAGAAAGAAAAAAAAAGGCTTGAATCCCAATTTGTGAGGGTTCATAATTATGGTCATATTGCAGATTACCTTGTATTTATCACCCTTCTGTTCCATTTCCTTCGTGTTAAACCAGTTATGCTGAAAATACAAATCTCCTGGATGTACTTGCTGCTTGCAGCGTGCTCACTCACCACTCAGCCCCACTTACATGTAATCAGTTCGTTTATCTGCAGATGCTGTCCTTGGGCCTATTTGTGAAGGACAATTAGAAACAGCAAGGGGTCCTCTGACTCCCCACAGAGCTCCATTGCTTCCAGTCCTAAGCGATACAGCCCCTTCCTCTCTGCCCCGCCCCACACACTCTTGAAGCCCTGAATCCCTCTAGTTTACATTTAAAGCAGTAGCTTTTTATCCCAGGCTTTCTGAACATTCAGCTTAATGACACGCCTTGGGTAGCTTTCCAAAGGAGATGCTTAGCTCAGCGAGCAGTCGTGGTCCAAAGGCAGGAATCACTGGGTAAGGGTTTTTTAGCCTGCATTATGCAGGAGGTCAGTCTTGAGCATAATGGTTCTCTCTGGCCTTCAAATCGGGGAATCATGTCCCCATACAGACATACAGTCCCCTTCACCGCAACACAGCTTGTCCCCTTCATAAGTGACAGATGCATAATCTGCCTGTTGACCTTACTGTGAAAGGCTGATAGTTTTGGCTACTATGGGATTGCTTGCTAAGCCTTCCTAGGCAAGTTACGAAAGCAGTTACAGCCTGGAGAACAAATAACTAAATGATCAGGCTTGCTATGATTACAAGCCTTTTGTATGAGTGCGAGGCCTTGTGGGAGTACTTATGCTAACAGCTGAGATTTGGCTGAATAGTGTAGCCCTCAAAAAATAACCTCAGGTCAGATATTTTGTTCTCGCCTTCTGAGAGACAAACGAGTGACTACAAACAGGTACAGCACACCACTCAATTCTACAAAAAGGGAGCTTTAGAGGGCTTTGGCTATCATCTTGCTATGCAGTATTAAGCAGCTAAACCACATTTAGATGTAGAAATTACTAAGAAATAAATGATGTTAACGTTTAATTATGGACATCCTAAAAGCCTCGTATGGATAGGGGTTGTTAATGACCTTCTTATAATCAGGATAAAGGATCAAATATGGTGTATATCTGTATTACCGTCATAACAAAGGGTATAAAATACCACACCCGGTTCTCATTTCTATGGGTTCATCAGGTCCCTAAGACAGTGTAAACAGAATCAGAACCTCCCTTCTGATGGGTTACATTCAGTTATCCTTCTGTCTCCATAAATTGTAAATACACACAATGCAAGACTGTAAGTATAAACGATATAGGAAACCACTGAACCACACGTACCTTAGTCATATAGTTACAGGTATTGATCCTTTCCCACAATGCCAATTACAGTTGTCTGTAATAAATAATTTCTGTGTACATTTCACCAAATTCCATCTTGTCAATTACCTTTAAGTAGCTGCCTAGGAAAAGAACCTGTTATCTGTGACAAGCGCATGCTGTACCCAACACTGAATCTGATAAGTTAATAATTAATAATAATTGTCCAGGCTACATTCCTTTACTGGATTTATTCTAGTTTTCTCCTCCTGTTGATTTTTTGCTTGGCTCCTGAACATGACCCCTCCCTCCAAACCACTGCATTTTTATTTAAATATAAAGCAACCTAGCTTCATTTTCATTTATAGATCAGTCTTATTCCTTCCACCCCCCACCCTGTTTGTTTTGAAGCAAGTTTGACTCCTTATTTCTACAACACCTTCCACTGAATGACCTAAAAGTGCTTCCCAACTTCATTGAGTTTACCCTTGGCTCTCGTGAAGGACGGTACCACTCAGCCAGAATAAAGGTGGTAAAATCTGGCTCTAAGCCTCAAGAGGTGGGGAGGGCATAAGAATTAATTGAGCTGTTTTAATTGGTTTAATTGAAAAGAGCGTAGGGCTCCTGTCAGCCCAGTGCAGACGAGGCAATCCAAAGCGACAGGATCAAGGGTCTTGTTAACCAGTGTAGCACATTCTGTGTAGCAATTTGACTGAGCTCATTACTCAAATAGGGTAAAATGTCTTTCAAGTCCTTTTACAATCCAGCTCCGAGATGGAGGAATTTTAGTATAAAAGGGTCTGATGCCCGTTTAGCTGTTCTAATGACACTTCGTTCATTCTCCAGCCCCGGTCTCACAAAGACAGAATGTGAGCTTTGGGTGTGAGAGGGGAACATGTCATAAACTCAACAGTTTTACTGGCACATAAGAGGGTCTCCTTACCAATCAGGTTCCTCCATTCCGTGTCCAGGTCTGCTTGGTTGGCCAGGCAGCCCTTCATGACATTGTGGCAGTAGTTGTTGCACGGCTTCACGCTAGACATGCCCCGGCAATACGGACAGTACACCAGCTTCATTATGGCACGAGTGCACTCATGGCTAAGAGACACCTAGGAGAGGGGGAAGGGCAATTATTAAGTATGGAAACAAATGCAAGTCTCTCATTAAATAGGGAAATATAGAGCGCATTATTTTAAAGCCCTAGTCAGACAGAATACATTATACCGAGCCATATCCATGCCCCAGGTAACTAAATCATCTAAAATATTCTGTGGTCCAGTGGGCAGAACTCTGGACTGTGAGACAGGATTCTATTTTGGGTGGTGCCACTGGTCTGTAGTGTGTCCTTGGGCAAATGACTGTGTTCATCAGTACCTCTATTTCCCCTCCCACACTTCATCCGCCTTATCTAGTTAGGCTGTAAGTGCTTCAAGTCTGGTTTTTAGACTGTCTCTCACTGTGTACGCCTTAATCACAGCCTGTGTTTACAGCACAAACCTACCTACTGTATATTCCTGCAGTACCTAGCAAAACGAGGCCCTACGCTTACCGTAATGCAGGTATGGATAGTAAAACCAAAGCAGCAAAAGAAGTGAAATATATAGAAATGACAATATTTGTTAATGGGCTGAAATACAAACATATACCAGAGAGCATATTAAATAATCAAATTATTATGACTGCATTATGACTTGCTTAGAAAAGTTCACACTAAATGTGTAAACGTTACAGCGCATCAGCAGTGATATTGCATTCCTGTTCCTTCCTTAAGTATCTGCAGGATGGATCCTTTTGGTTGGCTTCGCTCACAAACAGCGATGTCCAGTTTTTCTAACTTTGTTCTCTCTGTCTTTTTGTATTCACTAACCCTATGTCAAGACTATAAACCACTGGATCCAGCCCCCAGCAGGCTCCTGCTTGACTTGCCCCACTCGCACGCAGCTCAGAAAAGCAGCTGCCAGGCCATTTCTTTTTCACAACTGTGAACCCGGAGGAGAGGGAGGGGAAGGCTTCAAGTGCTGCCCCCGGTCCCAGCACAATCCCATTGGACAGTTTCTGGCCAGAAATCAGCCAATCGGAGCTGCCTATTTGAATAACAGGCAGCACACGAAGCACCATGACCCCGCGCCCTCTGGCTCGTAGTTATTCACACATGCACATGACCCTGCAGCCTGCGCAGGGGTGGGACAGGCAGGCAGGCTGTCTCAGAAACATGCTGGGCTGCTGGCCAGGAGTCACTGAGGTAAGTCTTCTGGCCAGAGCCTGCCTCTGGCACCCCATCCCCTCTCTTCCCCAACCCTTTGCCCCCCCCACTCCACATACCCAAACCCTCTGCCCCTTTCCTGCATCCAAATCCCCTCGCAGAACCTGCACCACAATCCCTTGACCAAGGTTCCCTGTAAGCAGTGTGTCCATGCAGGCGTGCAGCCCTGTTCTGAGCCCCACACAGAGGTTCAGAGCTCCTTATGTAAGTAGGGAGCTCAGCTGATCGGCTGGGAAAGGGGGAGGGGCGGGGCGCTCGCCCTCTCGAAGGAGCAGAATCAGCAGCAGCTGCTGCCCGCTATAAATGGAGAAGGACTGGGCAAAAGATGATCTGTGGCCCAGATCTGGCTGTGAAAGCCTCAGTGGACTCCCTGCCTGCCCCGCACCCACTCAGCACTCCAGAAAGCTGGGTGCAGGGCCACCTGTGTGTTTCTGAACTCTGAGTGCCTGGTGGAAGGAGAGACAGGCTTCTCATGCTGCCCTGCCCTCAGTAGTGCCCATTGGCTGGTTTCGACCAAGAGCAGCTGCCTGTTTGCCCCCTCTTCCCTCACCTCCAGGCTTACAGCATTCCGTTCAGAACAATACACGTGACTCTGGCAGCTCCCCTGAGAATTTTTTGGAGTGCTGCAGATATCTAAAACTCTGATCTTAATGACTTTTTAAAATCCTGTATCCAAGGTCTCAGAGGGGATAGCCGTGTTAGTCTGTAACTAAAAAAACTTAAAACACAACCATGGTCCTTTAGCACCTTAGACTAACAAAAATATATAAATAGTATCATGAGTGGGCACAACCCACTTCTTCAGCCAAGGGTAGTGTTAATTTTCTTTTTATTTGAGTTCATATTAAATAATCATAAGTATTGCTCCTTGTTAATTACACCTTGTTTTTTCCACACCTATGGAATATATATTTATATCTACGGTTTTTGTTTGTACGGGTGGGTGCACATTCATACACTACCTTGATACCGGTGTTGCACATAAGAAATTTCAATTTGCCCAAAGGAAAATTCAACCTGCCCAAAATTCAACACTACCCTTGACCCAGATCACAACCCCATCCTGCCCTAGGTCACAACCCAAGCCCCTACATCCCAAATCACAACCCAAACCCCACTACTCCAGTCCAGTGCCCCAGGTCACAACTGCCTCCTTCACCCAAACTCCCTCCCAGACCCCATTCTCCCTCCTGTACCCCAAGCTCCCTTCTGCACCCAACCTCCATCTCAGACCCTGCATCTCCTCCATTAGTAGCATGGAAGAGTGCAGCTTTTGACCACTTTCCAAATTCTTGGAGTGGCTCCTCCATCAAAAATTATTGCCCACCCCTGCTATAAACTATAATTCTGTGACACTGCCATGTGGTCACTCCTGCACCAGAAGAGCCTTTTATAAGCATCAGCAGCTTTTTGGTTAAGTGAGTGTTCTGTTTTAACCACGAGGTGGATTTGGATGGCCACAAGCATCTCCTACCCCAGGAACTTATATTGATTGCACTGGCAGTTTGCTCCTGAAATGCATACTGCCTCTCATGCAAAGCTGACCCCATAAGGGAGCCCGAACATTACAGATATTCTGCTGGCGTCATACTAGGAAAGGAAAGTAGGGTGACTGATTGAAGGGTTGAGACAAAAGATCAGAATGAACCATTTTCAAAACACCTGCAATTTGGGGTACTCCAAAGGGTTAAAGAAACTGAACTTTCATGTGTTTGTGTGATTCTCAGGGATTAGTGTTTCACAGGAGAAGGGGCTGATGCACATTAAAGGAAGGGAAACTGTCCATCTATAATTTGGTGCAGAACCAGATTAAGATGCTCCTGAGAGCTTCCCGAAGAACACTCGCCTGCAAAGAACAGCCTCAGAATGGGGCTGCAACCATCAGCTTAATCGTTAAAGGGACCCAGACAAACTTGGCCAGTCTGTAATATTAACTATTACACCAATTTTTTTGGCTAACATCCACTTGACATTTCCCCGTTAGTATTTATAGGTGATTTAATAGAATGGCTTAATGTTCCCTTTTCAATGAATCCATCCATCAATCAATGCCAGTAGCTTAGCACTCATAAGAAATAATGCAATACCAAACTGGTATGTAAGTGTGATAGACAAGGGAAATGTTCTGTCTGGAAAGAGATCCAAGTTGCAGGATTCAGTTTCAACATTAAGACTTTTTTCTCCCATATATTATGACAAATATGTCAAACAATGTCCTCTTAAGCTTGCTGTGGTCCAAGAATAAGCAATATTGAGGCAGCCCTGGAACAGTGGGAGCATGCTGAGCCTACTGTTAGAGGTCAAGAGATAAAATCCCTAAGGCTTGTCTTCCCCAAAAACTCTTTTCTGTAGCCCTTTATTTTTAGTACCCCTTGAAAAGGATCTCTCCAGCGCTGCAGGAATTAATTAAATGACCACATGAGAAGACTTCCTGAGGCTCACAGCATACAGACAGTGCCAGAGCTGTTCCCCATGTTAAAAGTTAGAAGTAGGAGGTTTCAATTACTTTGGTTTCTATAAAATGAAGTTTCTAAGCCTCACAGAAAATCAATGGAATAAAGTAGGAAAAAACCCTCTGTCTGTACATGATAAATATAAACAGAAAGACCCGAGCCCCAAATCCACCAAAGGCTTGATCATTGCACCTAATTTGTGGGTGCCTAATCACTTTATGCAGGGATAAAAATCCCATTGTCCTTGAAGTATCCTGGGGTTTAGCTCCAACCCAAGCATGAACATCTACACAGTGATTTTTTAGCCATGAAACCCAAACCCCAGGAGCCCAAGTCAGTTGACCAAGGCCGGTTGTGGGATTTTTTATTCCTGTGCCCCGGTGGAATCAGCAAACCCTGGGTGAGGCCCTTCGGCTCCCACTACAACACATGGGGACAGATAGTTGCCCGAGAATGGGATCCACAAAAGCCAACTTGCTAGGCAGAGAGCCACCTACGCTAGCCAATGGGAGATCACGAGAAGAGGTCTGCCAGCCACCACCATGGAGTGAGGGCCTTAGTCCATGCTGGAGGAAGTCTCCTCTATTGCTCGGCATCCTCAGCCAGGAATTCTCATCTCAAGTCAGGTGCCTAGAGTGGTATCTTGGTAGAACTGCAGCAGTAGCTACACAAAATGACTGGAGGGAGGAGGCAGCCTCTCTTACAACCTCTAGCCCAGTGGTCAGGGAACTCACCTCAGAGGCAGGTTCAGTTCCCCCATCCCCCTGCTAGTGACTACAGCATCATTCTCACCCAGGAATGGGTTCAGTGGGCAAAAGACACACCAGACTATCGATCCCCTTGATCAATGGCTAGGGTTGCCAGGTGTCCGGTTTTGAACTGGACAGTCCAGTATTTGAGCTTTCTGTTCAGGAAACAAATTGAGAAACTACAAATTAGAAAATATAAATGTCCGGTATCTTCTAAATAAGATGCAATGTGATGTAATGTCAAGTGTGTCTGGTATTTTTGTTGAAACCATCTGGCAACCCTATCAATGGTCAGGGCCCTCCCTTGAGAGGTAGGAGAAGACCAGTTCAAATCCCTTCTCCTCCACAGGCAGAGGGGGTAACTGGAGTGGGTTCTCACAGACTGGGTGAGTTCCCTAAGAACTGGCCCAAAGATGGTGAAGGTGTTTTCCTTTTACCTCCACCCCCAGTGTTTTGTGCTCAGAGCAAACCGAACAGATCGGGCCCTGCAGGTGAAGAGGCATGGCAAAGCCTGTCTTCTCCTGGTTTCAGGATCACTCTGGAGTTCAGGTGGCTGTCCAGGCACCTACCTGAGGCAGCAGAGCACATGCTTAGTGGCAGGAACATAGGTGCCTTAAGGACGTTTTACAGTGAAAATGTAGGTG